CAAAGGTTACCCTGTGCCTAAATTACCATGGCAACGGCCCCGTCACAGAGAGAATTTGTCAAAAAACCTCAGGAACATTTGTTACAGCCAACCAACAACTGATTGACTGACAGAGACTCACCAAAGAAACCGTCTGAAAATAAAAAGCCTGTTGAGTTTAGTTTTACATAGTTTGGATGAAGTGTTGCTGTCTAACTGCTACTTTCAGCTTCATTCTACCTTAATGCTGATCATTGTAATGTGCAACAATTCATTATAATGACGTCAATATGAGCCCATATTTCTACTAGAAACGCCGACACCACACACACAATGTGATCTACAATTAATGTTTAAAACAATTCAGGACGTCACAATAAAACAACCCTAGAAGCCATGGAGCACAGAGTCTGCTGGAAGTTTGTTCCCATAGCAACTATTATGATTGGGTCAGTTCAGGGTGACTGGTAAATACCAGAGCTGTCAATCATCTCCCTAAAACTCTCAGCTTGTAAAGACGGCAGCGTAGTGAGAAGTTGAACAGAAGTTATTCAGTCTGCGTTCCCCATCAGATACAGTTTCTCCTACAGCTCCGCCCACACAGAAAAAACAGTGTGTTGCTGTTACAACCTTGTTGCAGGATCATAACCACTTAGTGCACATGCGCTGAGTGGACGCTGGTGCATTTTGCAGCTGCTGCTCTCCGCTACCTGTTTTTAAGTTATTTTTCAACGTTTTTATGGAACTTTGGGCTGTGTAATCACATTCAAGTGAGAGCAAAAACACTTGTCTTCGCTTCTATCTAACCTCAATCTCCAACTGTTCTTCTGACTCGACACCGTTGCTGCTGTTGGTTAGCCACCCACTGCAGTTAACAATGTCAACCTCCAAGTTCTACATCTGGTATATCCTCCTCTGGACTCTCCTTTCCACTGTTCATCGACCTGGGGCTGGTCTGTCCGAGTATTTGGCAGCTGATCTCCTCCTGCTCCATGGGCTTCTGTCTGCGCCTCCACCGCCAGTTCTCCAGCTACACCCGGAGATCATGCTCCTTCCCCGCCGGAGATACATCCACCGCGGATCCCGTCTGAATTTCCACATCGATGACTCCAATCCAATACCATCATTCTGGTCCACTTCACGCCGCTCTCGCCGATATCCCGGTCGGACCGCTGACTTCAGTTCGCTTGCTAGCCTGGCTAAGGCAGCAAGCCCCGCCTCTGGTCATATCAACTCTGCCGTCAACTTTGGACGCCTGAATATCCGCTCCCACAAACAAGGGTCAGCTCATCCAGGATCTCATCAAGGACCGCAAGCTGGACTTCCTCTGCCTCATGGAGACCTGGCAACAACCTAAAGACTCCTCCCAGCTCAACGCCTCCACTCCACCTGGGTTTGTTTACCACTCTCTTCCTCGTAATTCCGGCCGCAGGGAAGGTCTCGCATTACTTCAACGCGAGAAGTAGAAGTTCTTGCGTGTTTATACCCCAGTTTTCCGCTCTATGGAATGCTTTGTATTTGAACTGCCTGGTCCTACTCCAATATTTATTTCCATAGTCTACCGTCCCCCCAAACCACATAGTGACTTTTTAAATGAATTATCCATACTACTTACCCACCTGACTACTCTGTCTCCTAATGTCATTCTCCTAGGTGATTTCAATATTCATATGGACAATGTAAACCTTTCACTCACCAGAGACTTTACCTCCTGCCTGGACAGTTCTGGATTTCATCAGTATGTTGATTTTCCCACCCACATAAAAGGAAATTTGATGGACTTGATTTGCTGCTCTGGTTCAATCCCTCTAATTGTTCTGCTGATGATGTCCATATTTCAGATCAATTTCTTTTGTCCTTCAACATTTCCCTGTCTCTCTCCATAATCAAGCCTGTCTGCCAGATTTCCTTCTGCAATATTAAGAACATAAACACAGACATTTTATCGTCCCACATTGACAATATCCCAATCCCTGCTCTTTCCTCTCCAGACCACCTTGTCACCCACTACAACTCTGGACTTTCCAATATTCTCAATTCCCTTGCCCCTCTCAAAACCCGGTCTGTATCCTTTTCCCGCTCTGCCCCTTGGTTTACTCCTGAGCTCCGCCTCATGAAAGCCAAAGGTCGGCAACTGGAACGCCTCCACAAAAAAACTGGTCTCTCCATACACAAAGAAATGCAAAAAAATAATCTACTTCAATATTCAAACTTAATAGCCATTACTAAGTCAAACTACTATTCTGACCTTATCTGCTCCAATGACGGAAACTCCAAGTCTCTCTTTTCCATAATGCACAAGATCTTTGACCCCCCTGATACCCTGCCTTCTTACATGTGTTCTTGTAAGACCTGTAATCCTTTGTTAACCTTCTTTAATGAAAAAAATCTGCTCCATTCACCAGCAATTACATATGACCGCCTTGCCTCCCACTTCCCCTCCGCCCCTCCCCCGTAGCCAGTCATTTTCCTCCTTCCTACTGCCCACTTCTACTGAAATTTCTGACCTCAATCGAAAATCCAAGTCCTCTACCTGTTCTCTTGACCCCCTCCCCACAGCTCTGGTCAAAACCTGTCTTACTTCCCTCCTCCCCTTCATTACTTCCATTATTCATTCTTCACTCTCCTCTGGTATTGTACCTTCACTTTTCAAAACTGTATCTGTCTCCCCGATCCTGAAAAAACCTGATTCTGATCCCACTAACTTTAGTAATCTTCGTCCCAGTTCTAATCTTCCCTCTATCTCTAAAATACTTGAAAAAAATGTGTCTGCTCAACTCCACACCTTTCTTACCCTCAACAGTCTTTCCGAGCCTTTCCAGTCTGGTTTTCGCCCCTCTCATAGCACTGAAATTGCCCTAATAAGAATCACAAACGATCTCCTTATAGCTGCTGACTCCGGACTCCTCTCCATCCTCATCCTTCTCGATCTTAGTGCAGCGTTTGATACCATTTCTCACCCCATTCCCCTCAATAGATTGTCCTCTCTTGGCATCTCTCACACCCCTCTTGACTGGTTCCACTCATATCTCTCCGACCGCACTCAGTTTATTCAGCTCAAATCTTTCACATCGCACCCTTCCCCTGTCACTTCTGGTGTTCCTCAAGGCTCAGTTCTTGGCCCCCTCCTCTTCATCACCTACCTCCTTCCCCTTGGCAGTATTTTTCGGAAATTCAACATTCATTTTCACTGTTATGCGGATGACACCCAGCTTTAAACCCACTTCCTTACTCCCCCCCTTGTCCCTTACTAACTGCCTACTTGAAATTAAAGACTGGTTCACCTCAAACTTCCTTAAATTAAACAGTGATAAAACCAAACTCCTCATCTTTGCCACTAAATCCACCCTATCCAAAATCAAAAGTTTCTCACTACCCATTGACAACTCCTTGGTCTCCCCCTCCCCTCAGGTCAAGAGTCTGGGTGTCATCCTCTACTCCTCCCTCTCCTTTCAGTCTCACATAAACAAAATTACCAGGTCTGCATACTTCCACCTTTGCAACATTAACCGCCTCTGTTCCTCCCTCACCACTCATAATGCCT